GTGGGCTATATGAGCGAGGCCGTGCACCAACCCGCAAAATGACGTGATGAGAGGTCGGCCAGGTCAGGCCTGTGCCATCGGCTCGCCGCGAGCACAGCAATGCGTGTGCCTCGAATCCCCAGTGGTGGTGCTCCCCGGCAAAGGGAGCACTGCCTGCAACCGGAGGCAACTGTCTCAAAATATTGAGGGGGGGGGGGGGCACAGTGAGATGAAAGGTCAGGTCTTGCCACATACCCCTGTAAGGCTCGTAATAACAAAATTGCACCTACCAATATTGTTTCTTCTGAGTGGAAAGTTGAATACGGTGAGTTGGGACACATCTCTCTCAGCCATTGTTAAGTTGCTTTTTGCTGGAAGTTTTCTCAACCAGCAGAACCAGGAAACCTGCCACCAGCAATGTCTGCCGACCGGGATTTCTAGGAACGCATAAACTTCACTCACAAACGCGACGCACTGAAAGTGTACCCGTCTGACAAGACTGAGTGTGAAATTCACCACTCCGGAATGAATGGTGGAAAGCCGCTCTTACCACGGGCGTAGTCTCCTCCGCAGTAAGCTGACAAGCAGGCTGCTCCCCGGATTTTCCCCACTTTCTTCCCAAAGTTAAGCGGGAGTGGCTGAAGTCCAAGTTGGGAGGGCGGGGGGGAGGACCGAAGCCCTCCCAACTGAATTGGAAGTTACACCCTAGCTCTTAGGTTAGCGGAGAGCTCCCCCGCAGGCTGCACAGCGGCGGGTTGACACGAGTTTTACTCGCCCGCCATAGCTCACGAAACCAGTCACTGTCATGCTGATAAGTTGCCTCCATTTGTATCTGAAACAGCGCGAGCTAAAAGGACAGCACAGAAAGCTTTTCATTGCAGAGACGCTTCCGCGGAGAAGTTATCTGTCTGCACGGCGTCTTTAAGCCGTCGGCCCGTCCGCGGGGAAGTTACCGATCTGCACGGCGTCTTTAAGCCGTCGGCCCGTCCGCGGAGAAGTTACCGATCTGTACAGCGTCTTTAAGCCGTCGGTCCGTCCGCGGAGAAGTTACCGATCTGCACGGCGACTTTGAGCTGCCGGCTCGTCCGCGAATAATTTACCGATCTGCACAGCATCTTTAAGCCGCCGGCTCGTACGCGAAGAAGCTACCGATCTGCACGGCGACTTTGAGCCGTCGGCTCGTCCGCGACGAAGTTACCGATCTGCACGGCGACTTTAAGCCGCCGGCTCGTCCGCGACGAAGTTGCCGATCTGCACGGCGACTCTGAGCCGTCGGCTCGTCCGCGACGAAGTTACCGATCTGCACAGCGTCTTTAAGCCGCCGGCTCGTCCGCGGAGAAGTGACCGATCTGCACAGCGTCTTTAAGCCGCCTGCTCGTACGCGAAGAAGTTTCCGATCTGTACAGCGTCTTTAGGCCGCCGGCTCGTCCGCGGAGAAGTTACCGATCTGCACGGCGACTTTAAGCCGTCGGCTAGTGCGGATACCGCAGTCAGAACTTTTGTGGTATGCTCCGTATGGTGACAGATGTCATCAGAGCGTGTGGATGCGTGCGCGTGTGGCAACTTGATCCTCATTTAAATATCTTTCCGCCAAAGGCAAAATACCCGACCATCTTACCCGCTGGCAGGGGTGCCACTTCTTGAAATTAGTTAAGGGACTCAGTAGGTGAGCTTGGTCTAACCTATCCCCAAGGTCTGATTTCTCCCCACGTTTCAGCCCCCTCTACTTGTGTTCCAAATGCCAAAGAAGATTTTTCTAGTCGGCCTGAAGCAGGCCTAACTTGGATTTTCATTTGTAAGCTGTGTCGATCCCCGCCCCCTCCATTGTAAATCCTGCGTACACTCCTGTTCAAGAATATGTAAGGCTGGCGAAGAACGAGACAGGTGAAACAACTAAATTGTCTGCGCTAAATTACTGTTCATAGATTACAAGGCATACAAATAAGGATGGCCCGGTACCTTGTACTTAAAACCTACCTAGTATTGCAGCGCATATTTTGCACCAATCCAGGCGTCATTGCGTGAGAAACCCACCAGTAATTTCAGACTCATTGGAAAGGAGTTGGGACAACATATAACGTACTAATATAATATATGGTACAATATTGATATAATATCCATAGCGACGTCCTCAGCGCGGTACCTACTCTACCAGACTCAGGGAAATGTTCTGCATATATTTGTTCGGCATTCCTTTTCGCTCGCCCATACTCATTGGAGCCTCAGGGGAGCAGAGGGAGGGGATTAAAGTCGGCATTGATGGAGGGTCCCTCCCACAAGTATACATCGTGACTGCCCGCAGGTATTTTGTCAGCAGTCCAGAGCACGCGCACAGTTCAGTGCGAAAGCATCCCACGATGTCCATCTCACAATCCCCCGCTCGTGTGCCTCCACCACACGCGGCTCGCGCGAAAGCATGTGTTGAAGCGCGGACCAGCCGCTGCCGAGTGACCGCCGTTTCTTTCATCGCCATTTTCAGCTCCGTCTCGTGTGAAATAGCGCGATAAATCACCGCTACGAGAGGCCTCATGTCGCCACATCTCAGCAGCGTCCGGCGTGTGGTCTGAAAGCCGCCCCGCAACACGCCAGCGGTGAAACCGCGGTCTGGCCGCTCCGCAGCGGCGGCCACCTAAATCTCGGCTCGATCGCTCCAATGCTGCCTCGGAAATATGCAGGGCCATAGTCCCCTGACGCAATTGGCCAGCCATGCCGCTGCCTGACGGGCCATGTTTTCGAGAGAACGAATTGCCCGAACCGAACGCGACGGCCGCCGTGAAGCATGGGAGTGGGACACTCCTCCAAGGTACGCCTCAAACGAGAAGATTGCTCGTGACACTGTAGCAGCAGCGGCGAACTAGCAAGCAGCTCTTCGGAGGCAGCTGGCAGAAACAGTCACAACACGTCATGAGGACCACATCGGCGCCTCTCACCGATACACCTGCCGAGCTAACGCACCAGTCACAAGTCCCGACAGATCTGCATCATGGCAGCCGACACCAGGCCGGCGCCGCGCCACCTGTCCGCGTGCACCAGCTGCCTCTGTAGACGTGTATTGTCGCTCCATCTCGCCGCTAGGTACAACACAGGTCGGCACAGGTCACGCACCCCACGGAACTGGCCGAGCGGCCCCACCCGCCTGCGAATACAAAAATAACGCCTATGGCGGGAATAGTCCAGCAGCCAGCCACGTCCGCCGGCCTTGCATAGAGGACAAGCGAGCAGGGCAAAGCAGGAAATAATAAATACCGGATGATGTTGATGAGAGTAGCAGCCTCCCTCGATACGTGCGTAAACGCCGACACAACAGCCATTGAAAGATGGTAATTACAAATCGTATCCCCCGGAGTACCGCACGCGCCGCCGACCCCCATCCTCCACTATATTCCTGTGAAATAAAATGACACAATGCTTGAAGCAACATCGGATTGATCCCAGCAGCGTCCGGGTCTGAGTGGCGTTCCGTTGTCATGTCGACGGGCCCATCTGTGGGCCCCGCAGCAATGCAATATTATGCTACCCGAAAGTTGGTCACAAAAGGGTTCTCGAAACAAACCGCTAGCGGTTTATGATCCGACACGCCTTGCCCACAGGGCCGACTTCTCCGCACACACTGCGTCCGTCCATACCGTCCTGCCTTAAGGGCTCGACGCCAGGCAGTCGAGCTCCCCTGTCCTCTGATTACACCGACCTCGCTAGCCGAGCCCACAGGCAATACAGGACTGTCCGATACCTCTGTACCGGGCAAAGGGCGAGTCCAGCGAGACAGATGGCGCCACATCCGTTGTCCAGGATCTTTACGGGGGCCGAGCGGGGAGGACTCGAATCCAGAGGAATGCAGCACCGGGGTGGGTGGAGACAGAAGGGTGGGGAGAGGTCGCCCGGCCGGATCTGCTGTGACAAATCTCTCATGGTGGTCCGCTCTCGAAAGGAGACCAGACACAAGACATACGGTCACATTCACGATTCCCACTGACCCCAGGAGGGACCACGGGTCAGCTCGGACCACAGACAGGCTCCAACGAATCTCCGGCAACACAGATACTGCGCGAGGCCTGCCGCAAGCAGAACGCGCCGCCGCAGAGGGCGCTGCGGACGAGCGGTCGCCGCGCGCAATACGATCACACTTTGTACTTAACGACGCAGGGCGCACCATTGTTCCGCGCCGCCGCCACCAACAGCAACGCGCCGCGCCCACCCCCGGACAGATCCACTACCCGTGCCGACCAGAGCGAGCGCGGGTATCACAGGCGCCACACCGGCGGCGCGCGCGTCACTTGAGGTCCGTCTCGGGGCTCTCCAGCACGAACGGCACGGGTCGGCTGAGACCCACCTCGTCCAGCTCGGTGCGCTTCACTTGCAGCGCGCGCGGCGCCGTTTGCCGAATTGAGACGCGCGTGGCGCCAGGACGGCCCGGTTTCGGAGCCAGGATCGTCACCGTCGGCTCCTCCTCCAGGCCGTTGAGCGCGGCGCCGTCGCCGGCCGCCGGCGAGCCGTCGCGCGGCGCCGCCGGCCACGGCGCCGCCGGCGAGGAGGGCGACGTGCCGACCACCGGCCACGGCGCCGCCTGGGAGGCGGGCGACGCGGGCGACACCTGCGCCGGCGGCCAGGGCGACGCGCGCGCCCCCTCCGCCGACGGCGACACCCGCGACCCGTGTGGCGACGGCGACGCGTCCACCGTCGGCCAGGGCGCCGCCCATGAGAGCGTTGACGCCGGAGAGCTGGGCGACACCTGAGAGATCCGCGAGCCCGGCGATGCCTGCGCCGAGCCGCCGTCGACCGGCCACGCCACGCTGCCGTTGGGCGTGTACGGCACGAAGATGGACACCTTGTCGGGCGTGACGAGCCGGTGCGGCGTGGTCGGCTCGGAGCGCGCGTGCGGCGCCGTCGGCGCCGGCTCGACCGCCAGCCGCGTCAGGCTGAGGTGGGCCGGCCGGCGGCCCGGCGCCGGTGACGAGCCGGGCAGCGAGCGCAGCGAGCAGCTGCTGACGTCGGCCGCCGACGCCGACGTGGCCGCCAGCGAGGTGCGCGACCCCAGCGCCGGCAGCGACGAGAAGTCGTCTATACTAGCGTCATGCGAATTCCCCGAGGCTGCAACGGATGGCGATGGGGTGAGACGGCCGCTGGTGGAGGCAACGGCACGTGTTGTGAAGCGGTGATCAGTCACATACCATGACACCGATAATATGAGAGTACGAGACAAGTGCATAAGGAACCCTGCCGATTCGGCCGACCGACCATGGCCAGTTGATACACGGCGCAATTCCTCGAAACTTTTGCGCAAAGGTCCTTTTACGCGAAGGTGCAATTCCCTAGGTTCTTCTAGAGCCAGAGCACAAACAATTTGCCGCAGCGAAACCAGGAAGAGGACGCCTGGTAGTCATATTGTACGGACACTACAAACGTACGCCGCACCACACGGGATCAAGTGGACCTTGCCTGAAAAAACGTTGAGATCACCACACCCCAAAGCAAACCACCAACAAAGCCACGGCAAGTATTCAAAAGCTCACAGAAGATGGCAAAACTAAAAACCACACTGGTGCATGCGTCAAAGCGGTGGCAGACAGAGCAGCGGGACACGGTCGCCACTGTCGGTCTCCTGTCGCCGGGACCAGCGGGCGGGCCGACACCACCTCCAGGGGCACGCAACACTCAGCGTCGCGCTACATCGCACGGACCAACCCAGTCATCCGCCTGGACGGGGATCGAGGGACGGGGGCGCGGATGTGGGCCTGGCCACCGGGCTGACGGAGGCGCTAGGGCGCGGGAGCCGAGCCCGGTGACTGGGGAGCACGCGGGGCGGCGTCGGCGGGCAGCCACCGGACGGCGCGGCGTGGGAAGGATTCGCCATGTCCGGCCCTTCCCCGCACGCCGGCGTTCAGGACACCAACACACACCCCAAAGCCACGCGCTGGACACCCGACCAAGCGCCGGCGCGTCGGCCTGTCGGGGCGCGCACCGTCCACTGCACAACATCACACACGTCACGCGGGCGGGTCCGGCCGGCGGACCCAGCCCCACTCCCGTACGGGAGGCCGGCTGGACGGCAGGTGAATGCCGTTGCGGCCGGCCGGCGCCGTCTGATAGTGGTAGCAGGCCAGTGTGGTGGGCTCGCTGTACTGGAACACGGACGGCACGTCCTGGCGGTACCAGGAGCCGCGGTACACTGCCGGCAGCGCCGTCCGTCTCTCAGCGGCCGAGTCCGCGGAGCGCGAAACGTGCGGCATTCGGCGGGCGGCGCGAGAGGAGCGGCCGTCCACGGCGCCCAGTCAGGCGCCTCGGAGCGAGGCAGCCCGGGCGCGGGTCCGCTACAGACAGGTCGACAGCCGGGCGCGCGCGAGAGAACAGGGCTGCGGAGCGCCGGCGGCCACTCACCCTCGCCGGCTGACAGCTGCGCCTCCTGCTGGCGGCGCAGGATGTCGCCGATGATTTTCTCCTCGCTGGGCGCCATTTGACTGCGGCGGCCCGACTGGGCCCGCACCGGCGGCGGCTGCAGCTGGAGACCGAACGGCCGCTGCGGCAGCTCCTGGTCGGGCGGCGGCGCCGGCTGGTCCAGACGGCCGCGGCGCAGCTCCTCCACGCACCGCTCCAGCTCCAGCATCGCGGAATCGTCGTCCTGCTGGAAGTCACGCTCAAGGCGCACCTGGGGCACAGTCCCGACGGGATCAAGACCAAACAAGGCCGAAGGCGGCCTCCGAGACCGGGCGGGGTGGTCCGAGGGATCGTTTGCTTTATGATGTAATACGACTGACAACTGAGTAAACAAAGTGAGAAGTGGGCGGCGCACGACGGACGCCATGCTTGGAAAGGCTGAGATCTGACACAAACATTCAGAAAATAACCCTGACAGTACGGTCCCGACTTGAGCCCAGCGCACGGACACAAAACATACACACGAAACGCAGCACACCAACCAAAAGGCACCATACGTGTACTCAGAATCGGAGGTGTGGCCCAATCACAAACGGTCACTGTGCCGGCAGGGCGTGTGGCCAGGGTATGCGATGTCTCACCCTCCCCTTACCCCCCCCACCCCCAACCCCACCCCCACCCCCACCCCCACCCCCACCCCCACCCCCACCCCACCCTCTTCACCCAGGTCAGGAGTGCCAGTTCGCACCTGCAGGAATTCGAGAATCTCCTCCATGGGCAGGTGCTGCAGCGTCTTGCGGTGCACCTTCAGGATCATGTAGGCGCCCGTCACCAGCACCTTCTCGCCGTCCAGCAGGTAAGCGTCCCACAGTCGCAGAGCCAGCGTGAACGGCACCTGGTGCAGAGGGAGCGTGGAGGTGCGGCTCCGGAGACACGGAGCGGCAAGGGGACACCTCCCGGACCCGTGGGAACAGGTCCCGGAGATGCGGCGAGTCCATGGGGACATCGCCCCGAACACGGCGACGACACGGGAAGAAGGAACACCAGCCCGGCGGCACGGGGGGGGGGGGGGGCGTGGTGACGTTGTTCCGAAGGCACGGTGCGGCTGGTGCCTGACAAGGATGCAGGACGCGCTCGGCTGGTCTGTGGAGCAAGCCCATTGTGGATACGCCTACACAAAGTGTTCGGAAGTTATGGGAGTGGATCACTTTTCAATCGGCGAGTGAACCGAACCGATGGCTAATGAGAACTGATGAAACCAGTAAACTGAAAACAAAGGCTGTCTTTCTTTATAATAATTTGTCAGCCATCTTAAAAGCAAACTACCTTTTCGTTTTCTTTATAATAATTAGTCATTCACGTTAAAAAACAACATTTTTTCATTATCCGTTGCCTCAGGCAGGACGCAACCGTGACAAGATCATCCAAGATCAGTAAACGCTGAGACCACATACCCTGTCTAAGAAGCACTGGAAGAACCATTTCAGCGTATAAATTGTCGTGTCTATGCCATTGCGGTCTAAATGCTTCTTCAACTTGGGCAGGTACTTCTTCAGAATCTGCTCGTGGTGCAGCTGAAGCCGCAGCAGCTTAGGGAAGCCCTGTATAAACAGGCCTGGAAGAGTCCACGGAATCACACGTCAAGCGGCGCACAAAGCACGCGGACAGCATACGAAGCGGCCTGGAGTAGGCAGCCGGTCGATGCTTGACGGGGCGGGCAGCGCAGACCCTCCGGTGAACACCGCTCCTGGGTCCCTTCACATGGCAGCGAAATTGCTCCACTTCATCGCTGCGTTGACTTCAGCACTCTTGATGGCCTTACACTGCTGTTCCAACCCACAGTTCGCTCTATCCGTCTTCGACATAACCACGCTACACCAATCCAAGCCAATCCGTTTAAGCTCCAGCGTTCAGCGACACTCGACCCCAAACCGTGCCACCCGTTCAAAAAACAGACACCCCCCGCTCTCACCATCCCACCAGCCCCTGTCCGGTGGTGAGCCGGTGGTGCTGCACCAGTGGGATCGGTCTCCAGCAGCCGTCGCCCCCTCACCGTGCATGTTGTACAGATTGCCAGCCATCAGCACGGAGAGCGCCCAGAACGCGTCCTCCTCGTTCATGTACATGAGCAGGAGGGCGGCGATCTGCGACATGCCTTGGCAGTAGCCCAGCTCCGTGTTGTACACCGAGTAAGCCGCTGGAACGCAGCACGTGACAGGGTCACGGGCGAGACACCGCTCCGTGCCGCGTGACGACAGAGTACGCCACTGGAGAGAGCGTCACGGCGTGACGGGCACGACCAGCTTCACCCCGCGACGTGGCGACAGCCGACGCTGCTATAACGTGTAGCGTCTCACGGGGAGCGATGCCCAGCCTCAGTTCCGTGCCGCGAAGCCACAGAGTGCTAACGCTGTAATGGAGCGTGACAGGTGAGAGCCCCGTCCGACAGCAGCCAGGCTCGCGCCACACAGCGCGTGCCGCCGTGACGACCGGGCGCGACGGGCGGGCGATGCCCCGGCCGCGGCCCCGAACCCGCGCCTTGTGTTCGAGCGGGTGGCGGCGGCGAGCGGCAGTAAGGCACGCCGCGGTCCGAGCCGGGGTCGGCAGACACAACACGGCCACGGGCGGACCGGGCGCCCGCCGCGACCGGCACGTACCGCCGCGACTGCCCCGGAGGGAACGCCCCAGAAGCCCACCCAGGCACGCTCGCGTCCCGGCGGCAGTGTGAGGACGAGTGGGGGCGAGACCGTCCAGGCGTCGTTTCAAACGTACGCAGGGCAGTCTGAAGCTCAGTGGAAGTGGACGCCTTCATGTTAGCTCGAGATGTGATCGGTACGAAAGGCGCAAAGGCGGCGATACGACACCAGGGAGAGAAGGACAGCTGCTGTAAGCGACATGAACAGCTTTAAAAGCAATCGCAAGAACATAATGTGTCGTCAACGCGCTGATGCTCTTCCAGCTTTTGATCTTAGAGACACCATGTCCTCTGCAAAAAGCAGGAGACGAGAGGCCCTTCCTGAGCTTCATCCAACAGCCCGCCGTAGAGCCGCTGAAACCTGGCGACGCTACAGCAGACGCGCATCAGCACCGAACAAAGGACCGCCGGGCCTGACTGCGCCCTGCAAAACCCGCCCGCCGGGAGTGAAACCCGTCACACCACACGGCCTCCTGCAGCCGCCCTCCCCTCCGCCCCAAGTGACCCAATGCCGCTGGACCCCCGCCAGAGTGCCCCGCCCCTCACACGACTCTCTCCCCCCGGCGCCGCACTGACCGAGCACGTGGAAGAGCGCCTGCTGCTGGATGCCGTAGCGCTCGCGGAACATGATGTGGTCGCGGTAGGTGCGGTTGACGTCGAGGTCGATCTGGCGCACCTCCGGCGACCAGCGGCGCGCCCGCCGCTTCATCTCCTGACGGCGCGGCGGCGGCGTGAGACGGCGGAGAGTGGCGGCGGGCCGCGGGACGGCGCCACGGGAACCGGAACGAGCACGGACGCACAACACACGGAGGGTCGTGGTACGCACTGAAGGACGGAGCTGTGGCACGTGGGAAAGACGGCAGAGTGGAGCTGCGGGACACACCCAAGCATCATACACGAGACGGCGCGACACGCTGAGAACGCACCGGAGGCACGCGGCGCGGCGTGTGACAGCCGACACACGCAACCGTGACGTCACATGCTGTATGCGAGCTTGTGCGGCGGCTTGATACGTGAGAACGTCGGAGAAGGCCAGGTTTCAGTGGGAACGCGACGGAGGAGAGCGGAGGTTAAATCATAACGGTGGTTTGATACATATAAACATCAAAGACAAGATCAGTTCCAAGCGAGAACGCGCTGGAGGAGAGCGAAGTCGCCAGCAAGTCCTGACAACACTGACAGGAACGAGACGTCTACCGACGAAGCGGTACTGTGACTGCGATACCGCCGACGACAGCCGCCAGTCTGCTCGCCCGCGACAGCAATGGTAAAATCCGGACTCGGTTTGATGCCTTAGGAAGACACATTTCCGCTGCTTTTCACACGGCAGCAGAAACTATGGACAGGACGATGACATTGTGCGCGATATGACCTTCTAAGCGCTAAGCTTCAAAATAACGGAGGGTCGGTGCTTTTCCGGCCACCCTTACATGCCGAACTCTGTAATGTAGCGCGAGAGAATATGAATATTCATCGACTCCCACACATCGCCTGCTTGCTGTTCTCAGACCAGCCGGCCACGTTTTAATAAGCCGAAACCCCGCGCGACCTCGGGCCGACTTCACAAATCCACGGACTTCGTACTCAAACATCGGGAGCGCGTCCAGCGGAACATTATCGCTAGCCGATACGGACGCGGTTGGGGGTGGGTGGGTGGGGGGAGGGGGCGTTCAGCACAGGTCGCCCTGCCGCGCCGGTTCCATTATCGCTTCAGCGAAAGTAAGCCGACAGAGCCAGGCGAAACAGGCGGCGACGGGCGGCGGGGGGGGGGGGGAAGCTTAGCTGCCACATTATCGAGCGGTCTCCTGGGAAACAGGTCACGTCGCGGCCACGACGGCCTACGCATGCATGGGTGGGGGTAGTGGAACGGAGACGGAGAGAGCAGGATGGGCTGAGCTGCCTGCATATGTGCGTTAAATGGTCGCGTGCTCGCGCGTTTGCGTACAGGGTGGAACTACGGCATTTCGCACATTGCTGTGTCCGCACACACGTGCAAACGCTCATTAGTTCAGGCGCGGAAGGAAGTCTGCATTAGTTGTCGCGCGGATGTTGAAAGCAATGACAAGGAACGAGCTTTGACAGAGCTAGAGGGATTAAAGCCGACACAAACTGGCGCCACCACTTCAGCAATCGTCCGCTCACACCAGCAGCCCGCTCGCTGACTGGCGCGGTAACAACGAACGCGCACGGTCAGCTATGGGGACTGCTGTTCCAGGCTTTTTGCATGTTCGCCACAGAAACACGAGCACAACCGCCCGGCTTTGACATGATTAAGCCACAGCGCCAGTAGCTTAAAATGGCACACGGGAAAAGCAGAGCAGCTTGTTTCGAAAGAGAAGTGGCACGTTCGCGGGCGAACGGAAAACGAACAATCTTTTTACCCAACAAGCCTTCAAGCGCCAAAGCCACGCCGATTTGGCCCAAGAAGCAGCCGAACCGTTCCACCTCAATAACGCTCACCCCGTGCGTAATTTCAGAGCTCACCTCATACATGCCGTGTCGTTCCTGTCGAACGGTAGCCACATTCAGCATCTGCGCCCAGACTTTACCCCGCAGCTTGTCCGGGATGCCCTTGTACACTCGCTTCCTGAACTTCTCCGTCAGTTTCTTGTCCTTGCCGGCACGGATCTTGTCCCACTTGGCCAACATGTCGAGCCACTTCTTCTCGCGCGCCACCTCCACCTCCTTGAGCTTCACCTCAAGCGCCGTCGCCGTCTCCGGCAGCCGGTGATCGCTGCGAAGTCACACAGGTGACGTCAGGGGAGACGAGGCGAGAGCGGCGCACGGGAGATCGACCGCCATTGGCGCACTGGAGATCGGCCGCCATTAGCACACAGGAGATCGGCCGCCATTGGCGCACGGGAGATCGGCTGCCATTCGCTCACGTGCCGACGGTAAAACAGCGGCAGCACAGATTCCACCACACCTGTGGCCCGACTACACAGACGTGACTTGTACGCGCGTCGCGGGCAACAGCATGCACCATCGGGTCTGCAGCAAAAAGACGGCGCGGCACGTGCCTGGCTGGCAGCTGCACAGCGCGCCGCACGGCCCGACGCCCGCGCATCGCCCGGCGGCGGCCAGGGAGCGCTGCCGCTGCCCGCCCCGCCGCCAACTCACTGTATGAAGCCGTAGCGGTCGGTGACGTGGTAGATCTCGAACTTGGGGTCCTCCCAGGGGTCGATCTGGGCGCCCTTCTCGCGCCCCAGGTCGTACTTGGCCACGATAGCGGCGCGCTCGGCGGCGGCGCGCGCCGCCAGCTCGGCCTCCGGGTCATCACCGCAGGTGGGCGTCATGGCGGGCCGGGTCAGGGCGGGCCGGGCGCCAGCTCGCCGCCGGCCGGCCTGCTGCAGCGACACGGAACCGGCGTTAGGGCGGCGCACTCCCGCAGTGGCGCCGGCGAGCGGCTGGCGACCGGCGGCCGGACAGCTGGAAGCGCCGGCGGCCGTGAGCAGAGTCTTCACGGGACGGGGCCCGGCTGCCGAAGAGACTGGCGTACGTGGTGGAGGGACAGCCGGAATCATGAGGAAGATATGGAACGAATGCGAGGGGTCTTGTTGTGTTGTGTTCGTGACGACATGCATGCATGACCACGGGTCCGGTTGGAATGACACGCGCGCATGGACACAGTCTTCCGTTGTACATTCCATACATTTTGGTCGGGAATAACTACCGCTTCGCGTTCTCACTCTCAAGGGCGAAGACCAGCGGCCGGCGCTCGACGACCACCGGCTTCCCTGGCCTCGTACCGCTGTCATCAGTACTACGTCACGGCAAAATGGCCGCACCAGTATCAGCACACATTCGCAGCGCAACAACCGACGTAGCCCACACCCGTCTCCTGCCAAACCGCGAAACAAAACCGGCAGTTCGCACCACCGGCACGGCAGCCACAGCAAACCAACCCACCAGACATGCACCGACGCGCCGTCGCCCTTCGCCCCTTGGCCGCGGACGGCTGGCTCATGCGGAAGAGTCGGAACAGTCAACTCCCATGTTCGCATGGCTGACCCGAGCGCGGCCCGAAGACACGCGATATGCCAGTCCGGGGCCCGGCCCGGGCGCACTAAACCTTGACCGACTGGGACGCCCGAGGCCTTGGCCGCCCGGCCAGTGGAACCAACGGGCTGGCCGGCCGGGCCGCGCGCGACTGCCGCTGATTTATCGGCCGCCTGCCGGGCCGGCGTCTCGTAACGCTGCAGCGGCGGGTGCAAGCGAGTGGGACCGAGAGCGTGCTGAGGCGGACTCTCAGACTGTGTGTGATGCGTGGCAGCCACAGCCAGGCGGTGTGGCGGACGCAGTGCGGGTCGGGTACGCAGCGCCGCAGCCGCCGGAGATTATCCGCAGCGTGCCCGCCGGCGGGGCGCCCGGCTTCTGTGGCTCCGCCCCGGCACGCCGCCCCGCCGGCCGCAGGGGGAGGGGCACACCGGCGGTCGCGGCGTGTCAGGTCGGTCCTGCTGACATCGATCCCGGCCATGTCACCACGCCGTGCGGCTTCCCCGAGGCTCGACTGTCGCCGTGACCGCAGCACCCACCGGCGGGGACCAGGCGGGCTTGTCGAGCTCACCCACCACGCCACAGGACCCGCCGCGAGGTAACGCGGGCGGCCACGCGGCTACCGCTGCATGTAGGCACTGCATGTAGGCACATGCAAGGCAACTATGTTCTTTCTGTCCCCTCACGTCACTGGCCCATGGTGTCGCTGTCACAGTTATGAACACACAGTGCGGCTGGCAACTTTTTTACAGTTTGGTTTGTGGCGGACTGCACAGGACGCGGCAATGTAACCGATGAGCTCACGCGCGCGGCGCGGACTGCATTTACCAGAGCACAAGAGACGGAGCGACGCACCATTCGTAAGAAGACGCACGTGCGTCGAAGGCCACATCTGATCCGTATCAGCGGTAACCCCTCAGCGCGACAGCACGTGGAGGGGCATCATCACTGGCGTCGGCACGCAGCAGACCAGCCGGCAGCGCAGCCCATCAGCCGTTCACCAGTTCAACGTCGCCTACGCAAGTTCACAGCATGCCTCTGCGGCCGAGGGCACCGATACAGGTCGCGGACGGTGTGCAAAGAGCAACACGCGTGCTTTGAGCACCGTGCGCTCGGCACTAGACGTGCCCGGACGCTGCCGACACCCAGCACAGACAGGCATGTGACAAGAGGCTGCAAGACGCCAAAAAGGAAATATCCTACGACCGTCAACGAGGCGTATCTAATCGCCGTGCGTCGCCTGTTAGCGCCCGATAGCGTGCGCAGCCACCTCGCCACTCATCGACAAGTGGCGTCAATACGGCGGCTCTTGTGTCTATGGGAACGAAAAGAGCCGCGTTTTTACGCTCTCTCCGACCAAAAAATGCACGTGCAAACACGCAGCATGCCTGAGCCGCCTGGCCGCGCAGCACAACACAGGTCCGGTGTTTGGAGGACGAAGCTGACCGGCACACGGCACGCTGCGCGACGAGTACCGCGTGACGTCACAAGTTCGTCGACCGCTCGCAAAAATAGCAGCGTGGATCGTCGGCACGAAACCGTAATAACACGGCTAAGGCAATGCCGGTGAGCCAATTTACTACCGCCACCATACTGCCATACGGCGTCTTGGCCGCGATTACACGGCCGATGCGCCACAGCGTCAACACGGTAGAGAAAAGCGCGGCGCGGTACGGTATGGAGGGGCGGACGGTCCTCCGGCCGGCACCGGCATGGCGGGCCGGATGGTCCTCTGGCCGGCACCGGCACGGCGGGCCGGACATTCTTCCAGTCCGAACCTGCCCCCAGCCCCAGCAGCCTAGGTCCTCCGGCCGAGACCAGACCCCACCTGAGCCGTCCTCCAGCCGGGAACGGACCACAGTTCCAGCAGCCCAGGTCCCACGGCCGGGAAGCGACCCCGTCCGAGTGGTCCTCCAGTCAGGACCGGGCCGCAGCCCCAGCGGCCCTCCCAGCCCGGGCTGCCGCGCACGGCTGGTCCAAACACGGGGCGCCGCGCCGGGGCGTGGGCGGGCCGACGCCGCAGCTCAGGTAAACGGACGACGGCGTATACACCGATGGCGGCGGCGGCGGCGGCGGCGGCGGAGTAAATAACACCCCGGGGCCTGTACCCCGTCTCTGCCTTCGGTCCTCACTCAGCGCGCCGTCAACGTCGATGGCCACTGCGGCAAGCAGCAGCCGTCCGCAGGCCCATTCAGTTATTTGTGGACGCGCAATGAAGGTAAAGTCATTGGCGTCGCACCGCAACACGCCGGGTGTTGCGTGGACGCAGACGATGCGTGTCCATTATCGTAAACGTGATCGTGCCATCATTTGACGGGCACGGGGGCGCTTCCGGCACACGGTGTCGGCGATGTCAACTGAGGTGGTGACGTTCGACCGACAACGTGGAAATGGTTACGCAACCGCACCCGGGGCCGGGGGTTGTTTAACGATCGGGGAACCACGCTTGAGCGCTTACATAATGACACTGTTAATCGTCCGCGCGGGGAAAGCTCGGGACTTTGGGATGTTACCTGCCACGGAAACACCTTGCATCGCTTTGTCGTCATTAGGGCTTTGCGACGAACTCGGCTGCTTATGCTAGGTGGCGTCGCCTACCTCTTACCCGGGCGGGAAGGGCGGGCACCGAAAGGAATCGAACCCCGCACTTCCTGTTTCCCAGACGTGCAGTGGTTAACGCAGACGCGTTGACCACTACACTATCGGCACCCTGTATGGCGTTGCCAGGAGCCGAATACAAAACAGGCATTTTGGGAGCTAATGCAGCGAACGTTATTCTGGTATGAATATGAAACACTGCTTTATCAAACACTGAATAGGATAAAGCCCACACGAACTTTATCTTACATATGCGAGGAAACTCGATCCAACGTGGCGCAACGAAAACATCCATGACAAGGCTTGGCATTTGCGGAATGTAAAACCGTGCTGCCCGACTGGTACAAACAGGAGAGCTGCCATTATCAAGTGCTATAAGCGAAAACCGTCCGAATGCCACGAAACGCCCACAACCAGTGTAACAGTGGTGCATATTGGGCGATGTAAATACAGGACAAGCAGCCGCCACTCCCGCCTGACGGGCACAGGATCTGGATCTGCATATCCCGGCTGGGATCTGGGATCTGCACGGTCGGGCCGTCAGATCCCAGATCATCAGTGAGGAGCTCAGGCCCTTTCCTGACGACGCTTCGGCAACGCCGGAGCACAGACCACCAGAACGGGAAGGGGGGGGGGGGGTCCCCTCGGCTTCGAATCCCGGTCGGGTGAACCCGTCTCTGCGGCGCCGAGAATCCCTACTGCAAGAGGCCGTAGCACAGGGAAGACGCGACCCCCCCCCCCCCCCCCCCCAGTTCGGTCGTGTTCGATTGACGGGCCTGGGCGAGACCGTTGGCGGCTTCCGGCTGCTGAGCTGACGGGACGCGGCGTTCGCAACAACCCATGTTTGGCAATAACTCACGCCCGCGGGCAAGCGGTGGCCATGTTTTTCCCGTCACTCGTGAGCCAGCCGACAAACTACATGACGTCACGAGCGGTAACACAGGCGATATGAAGCAGACGCGACGCCGCACAAGTAATGAGACATTCGGCGGCGTCTCTATCACCCGGACCGACATCGGAAGTGACGTCACGTCGTGACGTCTGGCAGCCAGTGCTGCAGCACTCTTCTTACTCGGTTTGCAGCACACGGGGCAACACGTCGCTCAGCGCGTAGCCGGAATCACACGCTTGATAAGAATCACTCACTGGGACCAGTTCATGCCGTCCTAGTCACCGCTCGTGCCGCCAGGCAGTTTTCAGGAAACAGCAGCACAAGTTCTTAAGATATGCTAGCAAGATAAATTGTGGCAAACTTGCATGCAAACTCAATGACTTTCTGTGTAAACTGACTATCCGGGAATGGGTTTCCCCAGCAACGTCGCGTTAACACACTCAGTTAACTTGGGAGCATCAAATCTGCGAATGAAGAAAAAGCGGCAGAACACTGGTTCAAAGCGCGGAGATCTCGACAACCTTTGGGGAGGGGGGACGTGTCACCTGCTCCTGCAGGTGACACGTCCCCATTTACTTACGACTGCCCATTTACATACGACTGCCCATTTCCTGCCGCACAGGAAATGGGCAGTCGTAATGATTACAGCGGAGATGTGTATACACTGCAGACGATCACGCGCAAGCCACGAACCTGCCACGTCGGGATGCGCTCGCAAGCCGCATTATTTATATTGTTTGTAGCGGATCATGGCAACCAGGACAGGTGCTGACGTCATACCACGAGCACACCGTCCGTAAATGACTGAATAAGCTCACCACCATCCGACCTTGACGACGGCAATCTAATTACCCAAGAAGC